TCTATAAGGCGCCTATAAGGGTAACTACCCTCCTGAAAATGTCCTAGACTGAATAATTTGACGATGTTCTTGATAGACGTCAATGCAATCATGCAGCACCGGTTGAAAAAATCCTAGACCATGAACGTACCCTAATACCCGAAATTCATCTGAACTCAGCCGAAGCCCTACCCCCTCAACCCCTCAAGCCCAACCCCTAACACCTACACCTTTGAAGCTGCCCGAACTCCCCGAATCCTTTACTCTAAGATTCCATATACCTAATATAGTATATACCTACAAACGGAAACCGTATAATGTCTAAGTATAAACTGTAACAAGTATATGGAGCCTTGTACCCCAGACCCTTATGGCAGCCTTGCAGAAACCTTAGAGAAACCTTCAAAGGAACCCAGCCCCTAAACCTTCACAGATCCCTAAACCCTAAACCATGAATCCCCAAACCTTTATAAGATCTCTTCAAAGGATAACCTTCTAAAGGGTACATGAGCCCTCCTCGAAGCTCAGTGCGTAGCGAAGTAGCCATACGTCATCCACTTGCGCCTGCAGGGCGTCGCTGTCCTAGGGCTTTAGGCCTGGGGAAGAAGATTAGAATAAAGCCATGGCAGCTACTGTCATAAGGGTGTTACGGGTGCTACGGTTTAAAGGGTTTCATGAAGCCTGAACTTGAGGACCAAATTTACACTGAGAGGGTTCGACTACCAAAGGGTTTAGGGGTTTAGGGTTCAGGGTGTCATTGTGTTTGAGGACAATGTCTGTGATGTACCCCTCCAGGGTCCAAATACTTAATATTCCTCTGCCCCACCAAATACTAACTTGCGGAGATACGATCATGGATTATTGGGCAAATTGCTCTCATTGCTGAGGTTGGCAGTCGGGCGCGCCACTTTGAAATCGTCTACATAAATCACAAACAGCAAGTCAAGCTTGGCGTGATAGAAAATCGATTGCCATATCCCGGGCAACACTGGGGTGCAGCCTACTGTCAATTTGTCCTCGCAGTGCTTCTCCCAGATTCCGCCAGAATCTGGATGCCCATAACCCTCAACCCTAAACCCTAAAACCCTATCAGAGGCACGACCGGATCCTGGAATCCTTGGGCCATCGATTCCTAGGTAGGCGTACCCACGTCTCCACACCTTTTAAGGGGTGCTTGAGTGTACGCTTGCCTGGCATCCGCCTCTTGCTTAGAGTGACCAGGTTGCCCGGTTGACTGCCAAAGACGTCAATGAATTTTGCGGCTTAGGGAAATTACTGCCGTGATGGAAGTAGGTCCCCATACAGCACAGCCAAGGGCTGTAAAGGGGAACCGCCAATTCTTTACTTCTGACACTAGTTAACTAATCAAACCCCAACTAGCCTACCCGGCCACAAAAGACATCTGACCATCCGTGCGCAGATGAGCACTGCCAGCCTATTTCCTGAAATCCTGCTAGTTAGTGAGGCAGTTGGGTTTAGGATATCATTGTTGAAGCTTCGTATGTGGGAGAGTTTCGACAAAGCTTGGGTGAAAGTTCGGATTTATGGTTTCGGCTTACGTCAGAGTTCCAGATGTAGGATCATAAGTGGTAGGAATCGAGGCCACTTAACACACCGGCCCTACGGGGCATGCAAGTAATTACTCCTTATGAGGCCCTGAGTGGGTGCAGCAACCAAAAACAATGGTTAACAACTAGGGACTACTTGGACCCTCATAGGGAAGGCTATTAAACTGATGCTCTCATGTTACTATAGGGGCCTTAATGATTAGAATGGGCTTGGGGATAGATTATGCTAAAACTATAATAAGGACCCCCCCCAATAAAAAATAGTATAGGTACCCTAAAAACCTAAACCCTAAACCCTAATAACGCCCCTACCTTATACGTCCAAGGCCTGTGACAGCTCTTGCTGAAGTGCGCTGCGAAGAGAGGCCAGGGCGTGGCGCTGCCTGGGTCGAAGGGTCCGAGCGTAGTGGTATTGTTGGGTGTAGGGTTTAGGGTTTAGGGTTTAGGTTCGTTTAGGGTATGCGGTTTGGGGATAGTTTGCGTTGAAGGCTGAGGATCTATTTTGGACTTTCGGAGTCTATCTCCTCATGCTGAGGGCCAATAACCGGCTGGACCATGATTCTCAGACTAGTGTTTGGACTATGACTACGTTATTTCAGGAACTTGATTCGGGAATGTTATGTCTACTCGTTGCTGACCTCTGTATATAAAGTAGATACTTAAGCCACGAACAGAAACCCGTATGGCGTCAGTTTGGCACGTACAGAATTTGATGGCCAAGATGAGTTGTAAGTACCCTAAAAAGAGTTACCCCAATCATAACCCTACTTATAACCGACTTACTAAGTCCCCTCAGCCTCCAAGTACAGTCTTAAAGCAAAGGTCGGAGCCGCCGCAACATGTTGGGTCTTCAGTGGCAGCAAGTTGAGCTACGCAGATATAGAGCCATACTCGTCAAGTGCTGCAAATATCTGCCTTTCCGG